AAGACTTGTGGACTTCAACTCCCAGAATTCCTCAGCCAGCTGGCTGAGGAATTCTGGGAGTTGAAGTCCACAAGTCTTAAAGTTGCCAAGGTTGGACACCCCTGACCTAATTCATCACAAAACCCAACTGAAATGAGTAAGGGTGCCCAATGAAAGTCACACACAAGGAAAAAAAATCCCTCTCTTGACCGTCTTACACAAGACCCGTAGGGAGGGCAGCAGAGGCAGCCTTGGCCTTCCTTCTAAATTCTGGCAGTTTGCATTGACTCTCATGCATCTACTCTGCTTCAATATCGTTCACACTTGCCCTCCTTGCCCTCCAGTGAACTTTCAACACGCTTCAACTTCTGCAGCCCAACAGACACTTGAATGTTCCTTCATTTTACAGTCACCTTTGAAGTCTTTATCAGATTCCCCGAGTCTCTGCCACACATCCTGTCTGCCTTCAGTCAAGAAAAGCCCAAGAAAATTGGTCCCCTCAAATAACCACAGAAGCCATCTCACACAAGAACCAAAGGAGCACTCACCCAAGTCAGCCTTTTCCTTCAAAATATCCTTGAAATTGAGGCCACTGTTGTGTGTGGATTGCCGGAACCTGCTTAGGGCTTCCCTTTGCCCGTCTTTCCTCGGTTCCAGAGGTGTGAAGGCTTCATCCCGGAGGCCACGTTTCCACTTGGAGATATCTGTCCGGGCCCATTGGGCCAAGTCCTCAAGCTTCACAGTTACTTTTTCGGAAGCAGCAATGACTTCATCCTGGAAGACCCAAAAGGGGAAAGGTCAGGTTGGCTCCCGACTTGTATCGTCACCAAATTACCACAGGCTTTTCTCACCGAATGACGTGGAGAAGATCTTACGATCTCCCACCTGTCCCAGCACAGCACCGCCTGAAAAGCAGCCTGAGGACTCTGGGCCAGCCGGGAAGACAGATGTCCTTCTTCCCAGAAGTTCCACAGGCTTTGCAAGGGGCTTCTCTCCTTCCCGTTGCTACAGGGAGGAGCCAGCAGGGACATGGGCTGAGGGGGGCATCCTTTTGGGGGCTCTCCTCTGGTGCTTCTCCCCCCCCCCACACCCATGCAGGCCTCCCGGGGTGGGGTGGGGTGCAGCATGGCTATCTCCCATAATTTCCAACCACCCAAAACACTGTGTTTTCCCACCCCTTCGCTTTTTCCCTAAACCCTTCCCATTTTTTAAAAAAAACCCTACTTTCATTCAAAGCCGTTCCAAAGTAGGGAGTATCAACTGTTCAAATGTTTGGATTGGTTCTAAAATTCTAAAAATGGCAAGAAGGAGCCTCGTGTGGCAGCAGATCCAAAGGAGTTGCTCCTTTGCTCTGCTCCACCACTATCCATGGAGCTCACTTCCCAAATCAGGACAAATGCAGGACACCTGAGCAGGAACCACTTCTGGGTCTCCAGCTGCTCTCCCACCCCCCAGGGCACCAGCACAAGGGGGAGCCCAAACCCCCTGGAAAGACAACCCTTCTTTCTAAAAGGGTGACTTGGCTGCAGCACTTGGCACTGAGAACTTTGCAGCTGATGCTAAAATACACTCCGCGGGCTCAGATCACAAGAAAAGGCCAGGATTTCCAGTAGGCTAGACTGAGAAGTCTATATCTCATCCCCAAAGAGGACAATTCCACAATTCTCAAGGATTTGAGCTTGGCTTGAAGGATTCTTTTTTTCTTTTCTTTGCCTTTATAGCCTGCACAGAAACAAATAACCCATGGAGATGTCACAGGAGCACTTGCCCTTTTGAGGGAATGCAGAGGGACACCCTTCGTTAGACTTTCTTGTTCACATCACATCGCACATGTTATGATTGTTAATGTTATTTAAATCAACATTTTACACAGGAATACCAGTTGAAACAGAATTTACTTCTAAATAATTAGGAACCAGAGATGTGTGTATGTGTTCCAACCTCCGCATTGCCAGAGATTGACAAGGCCCCCACTTTTGAAAATGCAATTAATCTGCAGAGGTAAAAATGCATACCATGATGAGTAATTGTTCTAACTTGTTCTTATTTGCACAAATGATCTAATTATAAATGGGGTTCCTGGAACTCTGAGTCACTAGAAAATTCCTGTTTATGATACAATTTCCTTGCCTAATACACAAATATTGACTTTTGTTCTAAAAGTTACACGAAACATTTGACATAATCACCCAAGAAATATTACAAAAATTATGCAAGTCTTCTGCAAAAAAGGATAATTGGCAATGCTCTGATTTCCTGCACATTTTCAGGCAATTAGTTTTAATGCCTCCCTTTTCCCCAAGTTTTGTTAAATTACAGGTAGTCCTTTACTTGCAACAGTTCATTTAGTGACCATTCAAAGTTACACCACCACTGAAAAAAGTGACCTATAGCTGTTTTTCACATTTACAACTGTTGCAGCATCGCCATGGTCACGTGATCAAAATTAGGATGCTTCGGTTTGTATTTATGATGGTTGCAGGGTCCTGGGCTCACGTCATAATTCCCCTTTCTAGCAAGCAAAAGTCAATGGGGAAGCCAGATTCACTTAACAACCAGGTTACTAACTTAACTGTCATGCCCTTGTTGGAGTCTGATTCTGAGGGAGAGGTGGAATAGCTGACAGGGAGTGGGAGTGTGGCTCCGGTGGCTGTGGAGGAAACAGGGGAAGGGCACAGTCTGGCTGGGCATTCAGAGGAAGACTCAGGGCCGCCCCCTCTTCATCCTAGGGCATGCAGGGAGGAATGGAGAAGGGAGCAACGTGGCTTACGGGAGAGAAAAGGGCTCTGATCCCTTTCCTCAGTTGCAGCTGGGAGAACAGGATATAAGTAGGGCATTTGCACACAGCACCTTGCTGGAAGCAAAGCGTGCATTATCTTTGTCCAGGCTTATCTGGGTTTTGGTGTCCTAACTGTGTGTGTTTTGTTATCTTTTGGAAGCCTGCAATTTATCATCCTGGCCTGTTGTGTTAATTACTTCAGCATGGTTTGTGTTGGTTTTTTTTTATTTCTAATTTATCTGTACTTTGGGTTCGGACTGCATTTCTGCCCTTTGTAGACTGTTTTTGGAAGAGTTTGATCTCCAGCTGAGGATAACTGGACATTGGGGGCCAAGTTGGAGGCATTAAAGGGAATGTATCTAATTTTGTGACTTTGTTATTTTTGTGCCACGCCCCGGGTCATCACATTAACAGTTACAGCGATCTACTTAACAATTAGGGCAAGAAAAGTCATAAAATGGAGCAAAACGCACTTAACAAATATATCATTTAGCAACATAAATTTTGGACTCAGTTGTGGTCATAAGTTGAAGACTACCTGTATTACTTTAGAAAATTGTCCTTTATAGCAGGGGTCTCCAACCTTGGCCACTTTAAGCCTGGAGGACTTCAACTCCCAGAATTCCCCAGCCAGCAAAGCTCTGGGAGTTGAAGTCCGCCAGGCTTAAAGTGGCCAAGGTGGGAGACCCCTGCTTTATGGAACACCTATTTAATCGAATCAGTTGACTGAACTTTGCTTTACTCCATTTGCCAGGAGCAGACTGGGTGGCAGCCTCACAGGCCCAACCAGCCTCCTTGCAAAAAGGACCCTTCCAGACCCCTGGAAGTGAAATTGCTATTACTTTCATGAGATACCAAGCAGGAATGCCCAAATATTTCCAAGTTCAGCAATTTCAGAAGATTACAGCGATTTTTAAATACCCCATTCAATGTCTTCCAGGTACCTTAGACCTCAACTCCCATATTCTCAACGTATGGGAATTACGATACCGAAGGCCAGGATACATAGCTTCATACCTGATGCAAGCAAATGCAACTTAATTCTCTATGGCCATTTTGTCAGGGAATCAAGGCACTTGGTGTCCAACAGATCCCAGCAGGAAAAATGCTGAAAGCCATGTAATGTGTCAACCCTCCATAAATCTTGCCTGGCATTTTTAAAGAGCCTTATGCAAATGTGATCTTCCCAGAGACCCTGACTCTTAGCCCGATGCGTTCTTCCCCAAGGCTCAGCCAGGCCAAGGTTCCCGTTTTCAGAAGGATCTGGGCACCAGACCAGGCAATACAGGACTGCGTCTAAAGGGGCAAATGCAATGGCACTTCCATTGCCAGAGGCTCACCTCCGCCTTTTCAGAAACTGCCATGGCTAACCTTTTGTTGGCATCCCAAGCAGGAGTGGGATTCTACCAGTTTGGCATGGTTCAGCCGAACCAGTAGCTCCAAGGATCAGCTGGGAGAGAACCGGTTCAGTTTGCTCCGATGATCAGCTGTTGGGGCCACCCGGGCTCTGAGCTGTGCTTTATATCCTGTTTTTCAAGCTCGGCTGATCTGCGCAGCACAGCGGATTGCCATGCGTCAGCTGTTTAACACACAGGGATTGCTGGAGAAGGTCAATAGCAAACACTCTGCACGCACGAGAAGCACACATTTGGCGCGCTCACTGAACCGGTTGTTACACTGGTTGAATCGCACCCCTGATCCCAAGTGAACGAAGCTGACCATTGAACAACTAAAAGATGAGCACAATTCATGACTCCATCAGGAACGAATAATCCTGTTATTGAGGATCCAGGGTTGATGCCCAGAGGCCAAGCCATGCAAGGCACCTGCAGAAAGACTATACATTCCATACTGCCAGAAACCAACGATTCCATCCCACAAGCAAACGACCTCTGGACTCATATGGCCGTCAGATCTATTTGGCCACTAAAATCTGATTCAAATGAAAACAGATCTTATCCCATTCTCCTTTGACTCTGCTGCCTCCCTCCCCAAGTAGAAACCCCTTGTTGGATTGGAATCTCTTGTTCCATTGATGGAAAGTGTGTGTGAACTTTGCTGTGTCTTGCAATTTGATTTAGCCCAAAGGAGGCATAGCTCCAATGTGAAGCTGAGGATGTTCTGGGTGGCCAAACCCCTCTTGACTCTTTCATGCAATTGCTTGTAGTGTTACAAATGGAGGGTTTAGTTTATATGACACCTGGAGGAACTTACTATGATGCTATTATTAAACAATAACTATAAAATGCCATAGGTTACAGCAGTGTGCCTATAACACAGCGGTAATCATCATAATCTAACCTTGTTATAATTATCATCATTTCCATCAATATACAGGACCAGAACAAAGGGTCTCTGCAGCAAAATGACATGTGACAATATTAATAATATTAATACACACAATTCAACTAAAGCACCTCTGATGGGAGAATTGAAACGTATGCTTAGCATTTTCTGGTATTGGCATTCCTGGCCTCCACAGGGCTGGAAAATCCTTGTATCTGGCCCCAACTGCATTAAGCCTGCGGCAGCCAGGTTGCATAATTTGGTGCACAGAAAGGCCCAACTCTTCCCATTTCAGATCCAGGTACCATAAGCAGGAACCCTGATGTGCTGCTTTCTCTTCCTCCTGCGTTGGCACCACTGAGACCCTGAAAGGATGTACCCATTCCTAGCAACGACCCTCCTAGAACTGGAAGGGGCCCTGGAGATCATCCAGTCCAACCTCCTGCCCAGCAGAGGAATCCAAACGAAAGCACCCAGGTGGTCTGGCTCCACTTGGACACCTCCCCCAATCCCTGGTTCCAACTTTCTTCTGGTTAGAAGTGGCCTCCCCGTTTCTCCGTTCTTTGGCTCTTTTCTACCCCTTTCAGAATTCTGGTTGCTGACGTGTCCATTTAATGGCTGCCACGCAGAATCTTTCCTTTCTACTTTGAACAAACCTGTTGAAGTATCTTTGGCCAACCTTTCTCATTCTGAGCTTTTATTTTCTGAA